CCACTGTTACTAAACCTGTCTAGGAGTCCAGGAAATCAGTTACAAATCTTCTCAAATAGGAGCAGTGGAGACCAGCCTGGCTTCCGCAGGTAACAATGAAAAATATGTGTTCCAACTATTTTATATGTGGCTCTAACTAGACTTGCATAGAAGCTTGATCCCCGGGGCTGGTAGGCAGGGATATCACATCATCCTTGGACTCTAAGTCAATGACAGATAGGTTCACTTTATGAACAATCTTTGTGATTTCTTTTTTGATAGTTATTTCAAATGAGATGTTTATTTTAAAATTGATTATACACCCAATTTCTCTCTTTTCACACACAAAAATGTGAAATGAAAGCCCTAAGGGCCTTCTAGGGATAACTAAAATATCTCATTGAGTCTATCTGTTCTATTATCATTAAAAGAAAACAGGTGATCCCCATCTGTATCTTCCCTCTCACAGATATGACAACAGTCCTTATCTTGTAGGACTCTCATATATAAACAGTCTTCTCATATATAAACAGAAAACATGTAAGAACACTCTATCCTCAATATGAATCTCAAAACACAACCTAACAGACAACTTCATTTTGAGGTTGCAGCCTGAGAAGGCTGATCAGTCACTACAAGGTGACAACTGAACCTTTATATCAGACTACCAAATAAAGGAGGTAGTCCTCTCTAGGGAGCAATATGCAAAAGTCCTATCTATTGCTCCAGTATACATTGATGGATGGAAGAGTCATGCAGGCTTCTCATAACTGAAAAAAATCACATAAAATCACATAAAATATCTTGTACGTCAGGGGTGGCAGTAGTAAAACCATATGTGATGGTCAATGGAAAGATAATATGCTTAAAACTGTCTATCTGGACAACACGAGATACTTAAGTGCTTTATTCCAAAAATTGCTGGAGTACTTATCTGGTTAGTTCAGTAATCCAGAATGAAAGGATATGTGCTGTTAGAAAAAAGAAAGTCTCTGACCACTAGTTTTTCTAGCAAGTTGCCCCGAAAAGCTCAAGCCATCTATATTTATATTGAGTTTCAGAATGTTCAAACATACAGTCTCAGATTTTCTTAATCATTTTCCAAGAATCTCAAAAATACTTATTAAAATTTATTTTCAGTTCTTATTTCCTTGTAGTCAGTGATTAACCTTTGCCCATATCTAAGCAGTATAGTATTAAAATCCAAATGATTATGTCATAGTTAACCATACCTGAATATTGCAAGCCAAAATGATTTAAGTATTGTACATCAAGCCAAATGATTATATCTAACCAGGAATATCTAACTTGTATGCAAGTAGGTAGCAGACATGCAGTTTCAAAGTAAAAGACAATTAGAATCCAAACAAACTTTTAACAGAAATATTACTTTTGAATTTGATCACCTCTTAATTTAGTATGCTCACAATAAGTTGTCTTTTTTTTCTTACCATAATCTGTATTAGTTTTACAGTATGGTCCTGCCTATACTTTTCTATAAAGAGCAGAAACTAACAATTAATACTTTTCCATTCACTATACTGTTTCTTTCTTTTGTATAAACACTTACCTAAGGCAAAGATGAATCTGTGCAATTTACACTTTTTTTAAGAGCATGGTAAATTTTACTTACTATCTTATGCTAAGAATGAACTAACTTGCCCTGAGAATGAACTCTTTACTGTTGACATTTATGTCCTATCTCTTTAGGCCCTGTCTTCTCTAAATAAGTTTTGAACTTTCCCTCTCTTCAGTACATTGGCATGCTTAGTCCTCAGAAGAAGTACTTGACATTTACAAGTCCCTTTCTTTTTCCTCATATACTCCTATCAATTTTGAGACCATCCAATAAGGTCTTAGTGAGTTATATATTTACTTAACCTTTAAAATAAGTAAGAATCACAACTGCATCTCCAGAGGGCTCCATCTCCAAAAGATTGACCCAGTTGTTCTGGTTATAGTCCCACTGGTTCTTGCCAAGTGGGAGATAGACTCCAAGGGGCCTTTACTCAAGAATGTCATTCACAAGACATTCATGCACCTTTTGCAGGAGAGACAAGATGGTTCCTGCCTAAAAAACACAGGAAGGAGTGAAAAGGAAGACATGTATTCAATCATTCTCTGTAAGTTGAATAACTAAGCTTTTGCTCCTGTTTCATCAATTTATAGAGAAATACCTGTCTCTTTTTGAATGTTAATGTAAACATTGGGTCCTGTCATTCTTATGGTTTATGGAATTTGTCTTCATGGGAGCAAAAAATAAATAAAAATGCGAGGAATGTATCTCTTATGTGTTTTTCATGAAAATGAATGTAATAGATATTAAATAAATTATTGTTTTCAGCCCACACCTCTACCTACATTGTCAGATGTCTGTAGCCATCAGAGACCAACAGATGAAACTGCTAACCAAATTTCTTGCCTGATGGCTCCCATGGCAAACTCAGCAGCTATAAGGTCTACCCTGACTCCTCTGTGTTCCATCTTACAGTCCACACCTCTACCTATAATCCCAGAAATCTGCAACTAACAGGGACCAGCAGCTCTGCCTGCATTCCTGGAGGCCAGCCTCCACCAGGAATAACCATCAACCTGAAACTTTCATGGACTTCCAAGTCTGACTTCATGCATGGAAATCTGCTAAAATCAGAGACCACTAGCTCTACCTGAAGACTCAGAGACTTGCTTCATTCAGGGACAACCAGATGGTTAAAGGACAACATAAGAACAAAATCAAAACCCAGGGCAAACGGCAATACCAGAGCCCAGATATCTTAATACAGCAAGCACTGGATATCCTAACACAATTGAATCAAAATAAAGTGAATTAAATTTAACCTTAATGATAATGATAGATGTCGTTAAGAGAAAACAAAATCCTTAATGAAGTACAGACAAACACAGGTGAGTTCTGGTCAGTAAAAAGTCTGCTGTCTCACAGCATTGTCCTCGCTGAAACAAAAATGTGACTATCCCATAGGATTGGGGGTAATAAACCCACACACATACAAATAAAAGTTCTGCACTGGAATGATGTGTCTTAGTTAACCTAGAATGTTAACATCCATGCAAACAGCACACCACTGGGATGGATCAGTAGAAGCTAAGCAGTTCATTGGGCTAAGACTATACTCTTATTTTCAGATGATAATATTTTGCCTTTTGCACAGCAAAGGATGCCCTGTCCTCTGAGTCTTCCATGACTTGATCCTTCTGCTGACACTACTTCTCAGCATCTTCACATCTACTCTTCTTACTGTCCAGGAGTATATCTGTGGAGGTTGCTTCTGGTTCCCTGATTTGTTTTGTTTCTTGTTTCTAGTTCTACAGACTAGTGTAGTCTCTGACATATAGAGTGATAAAATAGGCTTCTCCTCAAGTGCCAGCCACCTAGCAAGAAGGATAATTAAGTGCTATCAATGGTGTAAGGATTGTAAGTACAGTGGGGTTTTATGTGGGAAGGAATGACAGAGCTGTCTGGTTTAGCCTGTCATGCTTCCATCACTGAGTCCCACCAATAAAGCTCTTGCTTGACTCACAGGTTCTTTTCCCATTTTCTACTCTGTTTTCTTTCAGTTTCAGTTTCTCCTTATGCCTCTGCTTTTTTTTTAAAGGAATATTTTTTGGGTAAGAGTGTTTTTCGTGCGTGTGTGTGTGTGTGTGTGTGTGTGTGTGTGTGTATGCTCCTCTGTGTCCAGGAAAGTCAGGATAGAAGAACTCATCAGATTTCCTAGAACAGGATTTATAAATGGCTGTGAACCACCATTCATGCTAAGAACTGAACCCAGGTCCTCTACAAGATCAGCTAGTGCTCCTTTCTGTGCAGACATCACTCTGGCCTTTCTTATCACTGCATCTATGATTTCAAGTGTTCTGTAGCCATTTTTTTAAATTTAACTGCCCTTGCTTTTTTATAGTACCACACATCAGAAAGCTCTGAATATATAACTTTCCTAGAAGTCCCCTTAATCGCCTCTTTCCCCAGTTTCTCCATCTATGAACTTGTGAATAGTTAAAATTATTGTCCACTCCTACATTGCAGGTGTTGTTGCTGTGTCACATATGTGTCAGTAGGTGGCAGAAAAGAGATGTACTATGTGTATTCAGTATTTCAGTATTTTGACCTGTGAACACCTGACTGATTAGTAGCCTAACATTTTTCTGATATATATATATATGGAGAGAGAGAGAGAGAGAGAGAGAGAGAGAGAGAGAGAGAGACTGGGAAGACAAGACAAGTAAGTATTAAACAGGCCCAGACTGTCTCCCATGATGGGGAATTGGAAAATAGAAGAACCTCACATGAGTTCAGTAGACCTCAAGAGGAATGACAGACATCCATTGCAAGTTTTCTCTCTGGCAGGAAAGGCAAGTAGAATGAACACCAGACTGACATCATGGAGCCCAGACAGGTAGCTAACATGAACTGACCACTACACCAGGACCAGTCAGGCCCAAAGGACAGATCATGCCCACAATGACCCCTGTCTGGAAACATAATGCACAAGCAGAGCATAGCACACCTGAGACTACTTTTGAGATGATTCCCTCCTCAAAAAATCAGAGACCACAAGATCTTCTAAGAGGAGCAAGTGAATGCTGGATAAATGGGAGAGAAGAAATAGAAGAATGTGGTTAAAAAAAAAAAGGCCGAACTAGAGACTAGAGGGATATGAAGAACAGCCTGATGTACATAGCTGGTGATGACAACTAGGACCATGATGAAATACTGTTCTTTGCTGCCACCATGGGACCATACTGGGTCCGAAGCCCTGAAGAAGTTGTCTGTTACCATCAAAGTCCAGCAAACATCCATGGTCTGAGCTGGAACCTGGAGACATGTTGATGTCTGAGGGCTGGGCAGAACTGGCTCCTACTCTCATCTGGGCATGGTGGGAGAGAAAGTCCTGAAGGCATGAGAGCAGGAGAATTGATGCTTGTCCTAGCCAGCTGTAGTACTCAGAAGTGCCTGTGCCAACACATTGCAGGGGATGTGGGTGTGCTGGCCCAGAGGATACAAGCAGAATGTGAGAACTTGCCACCATATATGGGGCATCCTTTTCACCTCTCTCCACCTATTGCAGGCAGGAGAATGGCCCTGAAATCATAAGAGCTGGAGAGCTGGCCCTGACACTCACCAGCTGCATCACTCAAGAGAGAGGGTCCTGCATCTTGCCTGGGAAGTACAGTAGAGCTGACCCTAATGGCAGGGGGTAGACAAGCTGATCTTCAGGACCTTACTGTGGGAAAACTGGCCCTGCCATTTCTTTGACATATGGTGACATGGACAAAAGAAAGATGCCCCCGCCAACCTATCTCTTGCCACATATAGCAGGAGGATATCTGGCCCCAAGATCATCAGAGTGGAAGAGCTTGCTCTACTCCTCACCTGCCAAAGTCTCAAGAGTGCAACCCCTAAATCTTACCTGAGCAGCACAGTAGAGCTGACTCTGAATATAAGGTTTACAATTGAGCCAGTGCTTAGTGTGTTAGTATGGGAGAGCTGACCCTGTCTCTTTTTTGCTGTGCAGTGAGGTTGGCAAGGGAGAGATTTCCTCCTCGCCCATTTGCTCTTGCCACTGGCAGCCGGCAGAAAAGTTGGCCTCATTAAGGTAATGAGAGCAGGAGAACTGTTCCTGCCCCTCATTTGCCACAGGACCAGAGACAACAGGCCCTGCATCTCACAGCACAATAGAGCTATCTCTAGATATGGGGCTTGCAACTGGGCTAACCCCAATTGCATGAGCACAGCAGAGCTGGGCCTGCCTCACATCTGCTGGCCAATGGCTGAGACAATGGTTTATACTGCTCCCTGTCTCATCCTCCATCATTTATGGCAGAGAGGACAGCTGACCCTAGGGTCATGAGAGTGGGAAAACTGGACTTGTCCATCAACAACTGCATCACTGAGGAGAGTAGACACAAGGTTTAGCTGGCCCTGTTTGTGGAGGTTGCTGGTGAACTGACGTCAAGGCCTAGTGTGTAGGAGAGCTGGAGGGCTGACCAGCTCAGATACCTCTCAGACATCATTTCAGGGTTTTGAATCAGCCTACTACAACATAGCTAATGCCCTGACTTGCCCCATCAATATCATGCTGGAGTACATGAAGGAGCCAGTCTTACAAATCTAAAACTATAGGTTCTTCATGACACTGGGCAACAAAAACATATCCAGTAGGAACCCCAATGATGTTGCTGTATTAATAGAGTAGCAGAAGCCAGAGGCCTTGAACCAGGACAATGAGTCAATCCAATGAAAATTTGTAAGAAAAGAAATGTCGATAAATGTGTCTGCTGTCTCACACACTGTGACACACTATAGCTTCCATGACAAGATTTTTTTTTTCTCTGTTAGGGGCTTAGTTGAAACTGGGTGGTGTGTCAGTATGAATGGAGGGGGAGATGAATGTTATTCGATTATATGATATGAAATCCACAAAAAAACAATAAAAATGTTAAAAATAAATAAATAAAACTTAGCTTAACTGAAAACAGAGAGGAAGAGAGAGAGAGAGAGAGAGAGAGAGAGAGAGAGAGAGAGAGAGGAGGTAGGGAGAGACAGAGACAGAGAGGGATACTTGGTGATGTACAGACAGGTGGGAAAATGAATGGGATATTATGAGAATATAGATCTTACCTATTCATGATTTGTAAAACCATAAGGGAATAGAGTATAGATCTCTATTGTTGGGTTGGTGTTTTGTTTTATTTCTAAAACTATGCTTGGGATATGAATTTTGCACTGATAACACTATTATAAACATCTTTAACAGCCCTTTGTTCTCTATGTTTTCATCTGCCCCAGAACCACTGTCACTGAATCTTGATGGTATCCCATCTTCCAAATTGGCTGCACTATATATCGTAGCTTTCCCTGGTTTCTGTTTATAACCAGTTTAAATTATAATCAATGCCCTGACTTCCTGACTTGTCCAGCAAGTGATGGTGACTTTGTCTCCCAGAGATGCAGACATGGAGGGTGCAGATTGGTCATCTGTTTGTCACATCTGGCACCTAGAGGGGAAAATATAATAGATATCCACATAGTTAAGTATGATAAGAAAGGAAGTGCCTGAAATTTCATTTAGCACTAATCATAGTGTAACAGGAAAAGTCTCATTTTACTTAGGTTTAATATGGAAACCAGAGCAACAGTAGCCCAAGGAACTTAGCTGGGTCCTGACTGCAATTACAATCACACAGGATGCAACTGGTTTATAAAGAAATCCCCAAGACAATGCAGTGAGGGCATGCAAATCATTGGGAACCAGTTAAGGCTGGGCACAGCTGCTCATCTCAGCACTTAACAAAATCCTAGTGACTCCAGATACCCAAGGTCCGACCACACATATGCCTCCAGAGAATGCATTTCTATTCAATAATTTAAAATTATAGATGACATTACTAATGAATGTGAGCTCCATTTTGAATGTTATATAATATAAAGATATACTTAAGTTATATAGACAAATATAACCCCACCATGCCATGGGGCAAGTATTCCACTATGTTCATAGTGGCCTTATTTGTGATGACGAGAAGCTGGAAAAAACCCAGATGTTACACAATGAAAGAATGGATACAGAAAACTTGATTCATTTACACAATGGAATACAACTCAGCTATTAAGAATGAGGGCATGATGAGTTTTTCAGGCAAATAGATGGAACTAGAAAATAGCATACTAAGTGAGGTAACTCAGACTCAAAAGGATATACATGATATTACTCATTAATAAGTGGATATTAACCAGAGAAGTACAGTATACCTAGGATACAATCCACAGATCTTAAGAAGGTTAACATGACATTGGACCCAAGTGAGGATGCCTCAATTCCACTTGATATGGAGAAGAAAGCAATCTTCGGGAATGGGCAGAGGGAAGGATAAACCTGAGTGTGAGAGGGTAGGGGAGAGGAAAGGAGAACATGAACAGGTATTGGGGGGAGCAGGAGTGAAGAACTTAGAGCTAGCTCAGTGGAAAGAATGGAAACAGGTAACATTGGGAGGTAGGATATACGGTGACACTCTAGGATATACTGGAGACTTGGGAGGTAAGAGAATCTCAAGACTCAAAGGGAGGGACCTTGGACTAAATGTTCTATAGTGGGTAGAGGAAATTCTTATCTCTAGTAGAAAGATAGCATCAAGTGGAGAGACAGGGCTGCCATGCAATGGTAAAAACTCTGACCCAGAATAGTTCCTGTCTAAAAGAACTGCATAACACTACAGTAATATCATTACTTAGATATGTTAATTGGTTACACAAAACTAAAAACTCAAATAATCTGCACCTATGATATTGCATTCTCAAGAGTATAAAATGGAAGCATTATAACCATTTGTCTCTCCACTGGGAAAGATTTTTAAAAGACTATATATCAGAATGCATCTTTATCACTGTTAAGATAAAAACCAAGTTTCACATTTGCATGTCTTGCCACTGAGAATGAAGCAGATGATGGAAAAGAATTTCTAAAGTGTTCAAACTATACATGTTATCATTCATACATGGTATCAATTGATCTGTCATGAAGAACAATTAGTCAGTCTGAGTCAGAAGAGAACATACCATTGTGATTGTGATTCAAAAGCATTTACCATGCCCCTTGTGCTGTAAGCCAAGCTAAAACGTATTTCTTAAATATGAAATTAAATTAAAATTCACAGGCTCTAGGGGAGCCAGGCAGTATCTAACATAGCTGACCAACTCCTTATTTATTTATTTATTTATTTATTTATTTATTTACTGTAGCAAAATCTTGACACAGGTGCTTTTTTCTTCTGTTTAAATAATTGCTAACTGGAATGTTTGAGGACACAGTCAGCTGCTGAGTCTATTCACTGTCCCTGACAGGTCAGGATTTGCTACTTAATTCAAGTAAATATCATGCTTTGTGTTGACTCTTCTCTTGATTTGGTTGTTTTGGATTTTCAGACTTTAACTGTATAATTTTTGTCATGTGAAAGTAGACAGTGAGGATGCTAGTGGATAAATTTTACACATGGATATTGTAGGGAATAGGAAATGAAAGTGTGTTGAGGAGGAAACAAAAGTAAGAGTGAATACCAAAACACTACAGAAACATTATTACATAATTCTAGGGTAAATAAAGTTCCTCTAGAGGTAACAGGTTCTTAGTGTCATATATAGAATT